AAATTAAACTGTTGACCTAATTGTAGTAAGGCTAAGGCTTTATCTGAAACTTTAGCATTGCTCAGATTTATCAGCCATTGTTTATTAATATTACTTATATCAAAATTGCCATTAAAACTTTCAGGAGTGATATTAATATTGTATGATGAATGAATTTTGTCAGGATTCGTGATTTTAGTTGAAACTGTATTCAATTTTAAAGGTACACAGGAAGTATCACAATTCATCTCAGAGGTCAAAAATTTCGTAATATTATAGTTAATACGATTTATATTCACAATTTCTTGGCGAATGTATTTGGCCCGCAGATTAGAGATTTTTTTACCGATTCTATCTTGTTCCTTTTGCCACATAATGTCAAAGTTAAATTCCTGTCTTCGAAAGAAAGAATAAGCTATATTATTCGGTAGAATTTTTTCTATTTTTCTACAAATGCTAAATAATTCCGATTTTGTTTGCCCAAGATGTTTATAGGCGTCTTGTAATTCTACCCTTAAGTATTTAAAAATAAAATTATATTTAAGTTTATCAATTCTTTCTTTCCAAGAATGGAACAGCTTATTACTATCATTTCGTGTAAATCTATATATATGAATGGGAACTAGACGTTCCTTTATACATGTTTTTAAGAATTGAATTTGTATTCTTGTATAAATATTCGCTCTATGAGTTCTTACACATTTCTTAAGAAGCAAACATACGTGTAATCCAAAATTAAAATTGATGAAGTCAAAAAATTGCGTTAATTTACACATGTTAATGCTCGTGTAATTAAAAAATATCTTGAAACTAACGTGGTTCTAATATTAACACATATAAAAAATAAGAGCATAAAAACACAAGATTTTGAACAAGAAATGATTACCAAGAATAACATTAATTCATCGTTTTATTTTCGTTATGTGGACGATATTGTATTAGCTATACACAAAGAAAAAGTTGAAGGAGTTCTAGAATTGTTTAACTCATATCATGAAAGGCTTAAATTTACTGTGGACTTTGGCGATGATAACGGCATACATTTCCTAGATGTTAAATTAATGAGACAGGAAGGAAATATCATCTTCGATATTTATAAAAAACCTACCAATTCTGGGAGATATCTTAATTATTTTTCGAATCATCCGTTAGAACACAAAAGGGGAGTTATTATTGGGCAATTTGATAGAATTCTAT